AACCAATTCACATATTGTATCGACACGATCCCACGAAGACATCTAAATGAAACCGCAGATCAACAGCAGTAATCCTATCGAGTGTGCTCCATTTCTTTTGGTCACTCTACCAAAGTTTTCCAAACACGATTAAAAGAAAAGGAAAATATGTCTCAAAAACCTTCAATCTGTGTAGAAAAATGGTTAGAAGATTGTTAGAAATAGTTAGAATTTGTTAGAAAAAAATGAGAACCCACAGACAGCACATTGAGTAACCCGTCGCCATTTCCACTAGAGGATTCAGTTTGTGATGCAGCGCCGCTTACAGAGGTATAGCCTTCAGATGCGCCACCTCCCACTGCTTCAGACGAAGAACAACAAGGATAGGTGTCATCCGGTGTTCGTACAGCACATTCATCGCTAAACCACTTTTCATAACGACACCGATGTTTTCCAGGGGATTTAATAGTAACATACCTCCCATAGTCTACTTGAGAAGTGAGGGAATACGACTGTGACATATCCCGTGCGATCTCTCTTTCGACTACTGGATTATTTTTACATCGGCTGTGAGCAGCATCTCGATCGCCGCCAGAGGATGACATCGTATTGCGTCTGGATGAATCTGACGAAAGTGACTCTACATCACTGCTCTCAGTTTGCGAACTAGCAGCCTAAAAGATGAGAAAAATCAGGTCAAACGCCTCGGCAACGATTCCGTCGCTGTTTTTTTGGCAACGATGTTTTGACTATTATTACTTTCTCCTTCATTACTACTTTCATTTAATTTGACAAAGCTATTTTATGTTGTGTTGTAAACAGATTAAAATAATACTTAACAACACTCATTGAGCCCAGCCGCTTAATCGGATACCGCAGTACCATCCAATTCGCAACTGGTTCATAACAAGATATGGTGGTNGACAGTTGTATGGGCGATCAGACAGAATCTTGGTAAAACTCACATCTCTGTGGCCATCGTGCTGATAAACTGGGGGCAATTCGACCGAGTTTCGTGTTGACGCATGGTAGGAGTCGATGATGCGGGCCGGGCCGCTCCCTCGACACATGCACCAAGTAAACGAAGCTCGTACACATTCAAAAATGAAACCAATTCACATATTGTATCGACACGATCCCACGAAGACATCTAAATAATATCGCACTTCAACAGCAATAGACCAATCGAGTGTACTCCACTTTTTTCGCCATATTGCGAAAGTTTTCCAAACCCTTTAATCCTTTTTTTTGTCAGAAAAAGAAGAACCCACAGACAGCACATTGAGTAACCCGTCGCCATTCCCACTAGAGGATTCAGTTTGTGATGCAGCGCCGCTTACGGAAGTGTAGCCTTCAGATGCGCCACCTCCCACTGCTTCAGACGAAGAACAACAA